GTCCTAGGTCTCCAACTCGATCTCTCTCTTCCTGACATTCGCCTAGAGCTCAGCAAAGGTCTGGTATGACGAGTTCGATACGAACTCCCGAATATGCCTCCTCAGTATACCCAAATATCGGCTCATCCGAGCCTGCTCAGTGGACACCTGCTTAGGGCAAAACATCGCCCTCTCATGAAACTTTCGAGTAATCACCCTAACAGATTCATTACCCTGCTTAAGGGACAAGAACTCCTGAACCAATCGTTCCCTCTCCACCGGGGGAACATACTCGTCTCTGAACATGGCAGTAAATCTCTCCCAAGTCACGGCTAACACCTCTACAAGAGTGAAGTTCACCATCACGAACTTCCACCAATCCTTTGCTCCCAGGCGGAGCTGGTTCAAAGCGAACCATACCCTCAGATGCTCCGGACATGAACAAGTGTAGATGCATCCCTCAATATCAGTAATCCATCTCATCGCAGCGATCGGATCCTGCGTTCTGTCAAACTCGGGTGGCTTCGTGTTGCTGAACTCCCGGAATAGCAACGAGTCACCTCCCTGTGGTCTGGCAGCAGCCACAGCTGCTGTAGCTACAGCGGCAGCAGCCTCAGTCACTGCGGCGTAGCACTCATCAAAAGTCTCCAACAGCATGGTCTTGATAGACCCGAACATCTCCGGAATCTCGGCCCAGATTGTTGCAGCTACCTCATCGTGAATCATCTGACGAAGTTCCTCGTCACTCACACTGCTCGTCTCAAATCTGTGACGTGTCCCAACCATGATGCCTCTGAAATACAACAGAAAAATATCAGGGACTCCATCGAGCATAATCGCACTCGATAACGTAATCCTACTCGGTCTCCGATACCCAAGGATTCTTACTTGGGTTGCCCACTAACCCGGTGTCTTCAGTAGTACGGGCCCAATACTACCGACTACACCGCATCAGAATTTGCCCCAAGTCCTCCTCCCCGAACCCCGGATCACGAGTACTCTATATTTGCTACGCACTTGCTACCCACTCGCTCTCCAAGCATCTCATAGCAACAGGTTCCCCTAGACTAAGGCATCACAAATCAGGCCACTCTAGTCCTAATATGAATACCTAGTCTACTAGCATGTGTATCATATCACAACATATTTCATAACACATATTGTAAGGGTATTTTGGGGATTTTACCGTTCGGGCGCTGGCTGACCGTACACACTGCTTCTCCTTTGGTTGTTTCAAAATCTTTTATCAAATTTTTATTAAAATTTTCCTCAAATCCCCGGTTTGAGTTCAGTTACGCCCGAAGGTGTATCCGAATCCCTCAAACCAAGGCTCTGATACCATCTTGTAACAACATAAATTTTAAAACAAATTTTTCTTTTTTGCAAACATCAAAAACCATCGTTTAATATTCCAAATTCAAACGTGAACAATGTTTCATAACAAAATACATCCCAATGATCATAAAATAGTTTCCCCGACAATGTGTAAGATCACGCCGGTGCCTTCCCACGGTCCTCGCTAGTACCTGAAACACATAACACAACAACTGTAAGCATAAATGCTTAGTGAGTTCCCCAAAATACAACTTACGCACACACGCCCTTCCAGGCCCTGACCTTCTGGTCCATGTGTCTCAGGGGACTTCCGTCCCGACTAGGTAAACCTTTCGGTCCTACCTACGTCAACCTTACGGTCCACATCACAACGCCTTCCGGTACATAACATATACGCCTTCCGGCCCATATTAAGCATATCATACATGGCACATATAAACGATTAACTTATCACATACAATGCATATAACTCATAACATATTCGACCTTCCTGTCACACGATAAAACCCTTCCGGGTACAGTATAGTGAGAAAACTCACCTCGTGGAAGTCTAAGATCTTGAGTTCTCGATATCTCCAAATCCCAACAATGACTCTACCTCGCCTAATCATAAAAATATCATTTAATAATCAAAGACTTCCACAACTAAAACTTTACCCCTTATCATCATTGCTCAGAGGGTAAAAGACCATTTTACCCTTCCTTGACCCAAAGTCTTTATGTTGACCAAAACCCTAAAAGTCAACAAAAGTCAACCCTATGAGTACGAGGGGCGTACCGCTTGATGTACACGGGGCGTACATCACCAACCCATGGATCGGGGTCTCCACCTAGTACGATGCGCGTACTGGGAGTTACACCCAGCGTAACCATCAGACATTAGCATACATCATTCTGGTCTTAATTGGTTAAGCCATTACTCCAACTTCTAGATCCGGCTCTTTTAATGCGTCTATACCCATAAATTCGAGACCTTTAAGCCTTGGCATGGTTGTAAAGGCTCCAACACTTCTTAACATCATTCTATTCCAACTCAAGGACCTAGTTCTCATACATGGTGCATCATTCACGTCCAAGATGCCATTTTTATGAGTCTACGACTCCGAAAGACCAGAAGTATGATGGATCTAAGCTCATGGAGACCATTTGCACAAAAAGTCTCCACCCTTGGGACAAAAACCCTAGAACATGGTACTTGAAGCATATAACATGAATCAAGTGACAAGATCCGACCTTTTTACCTGATAATGAAGCTTCAACCCTTGCAAAGATCAAATCTACACTTGAACACCACTTCTAGCCTTCCCAATGAGTTTTTCTTCTCCTTTGCTACCTTGGAATAGCACCACCAAGCTTAGAATACACACAAAATGGCTTAAGAACGAATGCACACTCTCTTTAGGGTTTCTCTCTGAGGGGTTGTGGCTGAGAAATCCAGCCACACATTCCTTTTATAGCCCTCCAAAGGAATTAGGGTTTTTAGGTCTGGACCGGTTATGCCCAGCGTAACCTTGGGTATGCCCAACGTACCTGAGGGTGAACGCGTCCAAATGAGGCGCGCGAGTACGCGCAGCGTACACCTTGTACGCCCAGCGTACTCACCCATCATGAAAACCCTAAAATGACAACATAACCAAGATGCAGGGCTAAATAGAAGAATACTTGGATTTCGAGTTGTAACACAAGGGGTATTTTATAGTCCTGCAGTTGAGCAACAATACGTAAGTGGTTAATTTGTATTTTTCATATAAGTGTTTATATCGTCAAAGGTATTTAGTAATCTAATTTTTATGATTTTTATTATTTTTAAAAAAATATAGAATGCTTTACTCGAGGAGATAAACCAACGAACCCAAGCTACTTCTGAGGCAAGCAGTCTAGCACCAACTGATATAAAAGATTGTTTTGAAAGAATTTTGGGTGTTCGACGCGGACATATCAGAGGCATTAGGCGTAAACCTCCTACTGTTGTGTCCATGTACGACCAGCAACAACCAATGACACAAGAACAACCACAATCACAAGTAATTGTTAGTAAATGCTATAATGGAAAGTAGATGTATGTTTAAGTGTATTTGATATGTTGATATTTTGATATTTTGTAGAATGGTATAATTAATTATAATGTTATTCTGATATGTTCTTAATATATTTTGTTTTCTTTATAGTTGCAAATGCTGCAAACAATACTACAGGACCCGGCCTGTTCTACAGTATTGGAAGAGTGGTTTTGTTCATTCCCGCAACCAAATAATGAAGGAGATGGTGATGATCAGGACGAGTAGTTACTTTAGGATTTTATGAAACGTTTTGTAATTTGGAAGAATACTTAATGTGGTATGGATTAATAATATGGTATGGATTTATAAAAACTTATCAGATTTTTCAAATGATATATCGATTAATATTTGGATTGATTATAAATTTAATGTTAAATAAATAAACTAAAAAAATATAAAAAATCAAAAGAGTATTAGCGGCGACGGCTATTGTGGCGACAGGCACGTATTAGCGGCGACAATGTATTAGCGCCGACGTAAGGCATTAGCGACGACGTGTAGTATTAGCGGCGACAGTGAATATTAGCGGCGACAACGAGCGTATTAGCGACGAGGCAATACCGGCGACGTATTTGCAGCGACACATCGCCGCTAAAGGTATTAGCGGCGACAAGCCCAACCTTTAGCGGCGACACGTGTCGCCGCTGTTGCCCAATCCTATTGTAGTGTGTACCTAATTGAAAACAAGTTGCATTTTACTATTCATTGAACATAATGGCTGAAAAATTCAAAATCAAAGTGTAGCTATTTAGTATGCATTTTGAGCCATTGTTATGGTAAAGCCAAAGTAAAGAGGTGTAGAAACAAGACAGGAACTCCTTAAATTCTACAAAGAAAATTACTCAGTAAATCTCGTGAATCTTGTTGTATATGCAAATGGTATGCATATGTAATTTTTTTTATAGCCTTAATGAAATAATTTCATTAACCGATTGTATATTCAATAAAGCTTGGATAAAATTGAAAGCAGGGCATTGAATAAATTCCAAGAAATAAAGAATATTGATAGCATCCATCCCTATTTCCTGGTCGACCATGCACCTCTGGACATCGTTAGGTCTAAGTCCTTAAGAAGCTTCTTTGTCTATCATTTATATCATGAGTGATAAAGGACTTATGATTTTGGGATAAATATTGTCATGTTGTATTTATTCTACAGGTTATTGTGAAAAACGTTCCTATTAAACATCGTCACAAACTGAGAATTACATGGCCATGGTATGTGTTTCTAGTCTATGTTCCATGAAAACACCAAAAAATGTTGAACATATATATAACTGAGTTCATTTTCAAATACATTTAACTCTTGCAACAATCTTGAGTTTGCAAGTGGTTCTTTAATGAGGTACCTAAGAACACCATCAAATATTGTTCATGTTTTTTTAATTATCTAATGATGTTATTTTGATATATGATCGATATAGTTTTTTTTCCCTTAGAAACCGTAACAAATCTTTTGTGATAAGGGATGCAGCAATTAATACTCACTCAGTCTGTTTGTAGAAGAATTTTATCACATGGAGAACTAATAAAGGTTTAGAAAGGTATTCCTATCTTTCTTCTATACAAATTATGTTTGTCGTTAGGTAATAAAATTATTTTGCGTGTATGATGATGAATTATATAATGCAGGCTGCCAAGTCAAATGTTGCTCTCCAAGCCAAAAATAAAACAGATGAACAGATCCAAGAACTGATGTCCCAACTGGAGGCAAAAAATAAAGAAATTGAAAAGCTAGAATCTTATATAAAAGTGATCACAGAGTATCCCATAAAGGAAGAGGGCGCTTCAGAGATAGAAAAAAGACAGCTTCCTCGACGTGAAGACGTTCCTATTACTGGCAATGAGACATCTGATAAGCTTACTACTGAAAATGTCAGACTCAAGGTAATACAATTAAACAATTACATTATATATATTTTTTAAAATTCAAAACCAAACCAAATAAATATATATATCTTTCATTTGTTTTCAGTACATGGCTTATGGCTAGTGCCCTGCAAAAGAAATTTGATGATGCCCACAAGTTGCGTGAAGAGAGGTCATAGCAAGCTAGGGATGCAGAGACAATGGTAATCGAGCTCAAGACCTCCATGCAAAGGTGATTGATAAAATTGTAAATATTTCATTATTGAGGCAAGGGCAAAGTAGTAATTTATCCTTGAATTCATTCAGCCATCAAGAAAAAGGATGAGACCTGGAGGAGGAGGAATTTATTCTTCGCCAACAAGCCATGATGAAGTCAGGTTGTTTCATGGCTAAGGTGTGTGTGTGTGTGTGTGTGTGTATATATATATATATATATATATATATATATATATATATATCTTATTATTAGTTTTATTTTTACGGATTTGATGCAGGATGAAGAAAGCGGTCAACATGGAAGTCCATGACACCTGGACGTATGAAGAAATTCAACAGCAGTTTGAGGCGTTCTGTCAATGAAAAATATACTGTATGTATGTAATTAATTCATGCATGTGTTTGATTTAAAGTTTAAAGTAATATTTAAATAACTATATGTGAATGTGAGTTTGACATTCAATATTATTCAGGAGAATGTTGATGCTCTTATTTAGGCTGTTAGACAAGAGATGGGTTTCAGTCAAGGAAAACCAGTCAGATACTTTAGTAATATACAAAAGCCTTTTACACTAAAAACTTTTGATCGTCTTATTCAGATGATCGGTTCTTCCATTGAGGTCAGATCATTTTCATTTTTACTTCAATCAAACCATAAAAAGTATAACACATTTTCCCAAAATGGTTAATTTGGAAATTACAGGGTAAACCTAGATATCTCAGGTCAATTGGTTACTTATTCGAATAGTCACTTTGAACAACATTACAGTTATGCCCTTCAAAAGACTGGCTAGTTGGTGTTAGATATCAAACTGATGATGCCTTGGTTCCTAAGGAAGAAATTAATGAACAAGAAAGATACAAGGGAGAACAGAAGAATAAAAGAAACACTACTAGAAAACATGGTGTTTTCCTACGGAATATAGCTACGGAAAATTTCCGTAGCTAATTATCTGCGGAATTGCTACCAATCAGCTACATAATAGGATGCCCTAGTTTAGTAAAGGAATAGCTACGGATGCGGGTCCGTAGCTATTTCGTAGCTAACTAGCTACGGAGTAGCTACAGCATTTGTAGCTATTCCGTAGCTAATTAGCTACGGAATACCTATGGAGTATGCTTTCCGTTAGAATTCCGTAGCTAAGTAGCTACAGATTAGCTACGGATTTTTTTTATTTTCAAATTTTCGGGCACCAAACGTTGTTTTTTTCGCTTCTCTACTATACATGATTATCTTTATTTTCACCAACTTGTAGTTATTAATATCGTTCATAAAATCGTGTGCCCCTTCGGGATCAAGTATTTGTTTCACAGTTTAACATTGTAATGCATATACCTTTTACCAACTTGTGATGGATTATGTTTGTATATGTATATTTATATACATGAATAAGTTGTGGTATATGTGTACGTGTATATGTGTATATATGCGTGTTTGTGAGATGTATGTCTACGTATTCATAAGCATTATAGTATTAAACCATTAAACGAGCAATGGATTCCGTATGTGCACACGACTTTATAAATTATATTAATAGCTATAAAATGGTGGAAATATAGATAATCATGTATAATAGAGGTGTGAAAAAAACAGAGCGAAAAAAACGACGTTTAGTGCCCGAAAAATCGAAAATAAGAAAAATCCGTAGCTAATCCGTAGCTAATAATTAGCTACGGATTTCTAACGGAAAGCATATTCCGTAGCTAATCCGTAGGTAATTACCTACGGATTAGCTATAGAATATTCTTTCCGTTAGAAATCCGTAGCGGATTAGCTACGGATTTTTCTTATTTTCGATTTTTCGGGCACCAAACATCGTTTTTTTTCGCTCCGTTTTTTTCACACCTCTATTATACATGATTATCTATATTTTGCACCAATTTATAGTTATTAATATCATTTGTAACGTCGTGTGCACATACGGGATCAATTGCTCATTTAATAGTTTAATACTATAATGCTTATGAATACGTTCACATACATCTCACAAACACGTTTACCTACATCATCAGCATCATCATCATCATCATCAGCATCATCACCACCATCACAATCATCATCACCATCACCATCACCATCATCATCATCATCATCATCACCACCATCACCATCATCATCACCATCATCATCATCATTATCACCACCATCACCATCATCACCACCACCATCATCACACCACCACCATCATCACCATCACCATCACCATCACCACCACCACCACCATCACCACCACCTCCACCACCACCACCATCACCATTACCATTACCATCACCATCACCATCACCATCACCATCACCACCACCAGCATCACCATCACCATCACCATCACCACCACCACCACCACCACCACCACCATCACCATCACCGTCACCATCACCATCACCATCACCATCATCATCACACCACCACCATCATCACCATCACCACCACCACCATCACCACCACCACCACCACCATCACCATCATCATCACCATCACCACCATCACCATCACCATCACCATCACCATCACCATCATCATCATCACCACCACCACCACCATCACCACCACCATCACCATCATCACCACCACCATCATCACACCACCACCATCATCACCATCACCATCACAACCACCACCACCACCACCACCATCACTATCACCATCACCATCACCATCATAATCACCATCACCATCACCACCACCATCATCACTATCACCATCACCACCACCACCACCACCACCAACATCACCATCACCATCACCGTCACCATCACCATCGCCATCACCACCATCACCACCATTATCATCACACCACCACCATCATCACCATCACCATCACCATCACCACCACCAGCATCACCACCACCACCATCACCACCACCATCATCATCACCATCACCACCATCACCATCACCATCCCCATCATCATCATCACCATCACCACCACCATCACCATCACCATCACCATCACCATCATCACCATCCCCATCACAATCACCGTCACCATTACCATCACCATCACCATCAGCATCACCACCATCATCATCACCATCACCATCACCACCATCACCATCACTGTCACCATCACCATCATCATTACCACTATCACCATCACACCACCATCACCATCACCACTATCACCATCACTGTCACCATCACCATCATCATCACCACCATCACCATCGCACCACCATCATCATCACCACCATCACCACCACCACCATCATACCACCATCATCATCACCATCACCATCATCACGACCTCCATCACCACCACCACCACAACTATCACCATCACCACCACCACCATCACCATCACCATCACTATCACCATCACCATCATCATCACCACCATCATCATCACCATCACACCACCATCATCATCACCACCATCACCATCACACCACCACCACCATCACCATCACCATTACCATCACCACTACCAACACCACCACCACCATCACCATCACCATCACACTATCAATAGTCATCGTCATCATCATAATCATCATCCTCATCGTCATCATTTCTGCATCAGTTTGTTGTTGTTTATGTTTTGTTTTAAGTTTAATCAAGATTACACTTAAATGGGGGAGGTTTGTTGGTGATTTTATATCATCGATATTATTTAAGTGTAATATGATTAAAATTTTTGACCAAAAATGATCTTGTTGAATAGTGAACAAGTTAGGATGGTGGGAGTGCACACTTGTTCAAGTTTTTCAAGATTCAAAGTACATTGATATTTAGGGGAGAAGCCACTAAACGAACGGGGGTCCTGGGGCAGCGTCCCTGGCTGGGATCGAGCTATATTAAAAAATGCATCAAAAATCCAATTTTAGAAAGTTGACCCTTTTTAGAAAGTTAAATGTTCTTGTCTTAAATATGTAAGAAAATTTATCCAAAAAAAATCAAGACTTGAATACTAATAATAATAATAATAATAATAATAATAATAATAATAATAATAATAATAATAATGAAAACAATAATAATAATAATAATAATAATAATAATAATAATAAAACAATAATAATGATAATAATAATAATAATAATAATAATAATAATAATAATAAAATGAATTCGGTATTGTATTAATACATATATCCATCCTTAGTAAATGGATGTGGCATGCCCTGCCTAATGGTATTATCTTGAATAGTGTATGCTTCGTGCCCGAGTTCGAATCTCCTGCCCATTTACGGGCCACCATTTCCACCCACCAAGATCGATTTGCTGGTGTAACATCGATTTGCAGGCGAAGCATCAAACTTGATTTGCAGGTCAAACATCGATATGCATGTGAAGCAAGTCGACCACCATTGCAGCTCTCAAAGATCGATTTTCAGGTAAAATATACAATTCTTTTTCATATTTTCTTTAGTTTTTGTTCCAATTTTTACCAGACTGCATTGATTTTGCCATTATTTTAAGGGTTTCTCTTGAGTTTTGGATTTTCAATTTATGATAATTGAAATTTTGGGCGTAATGGTGGCTGATTTGGAGTTAGGGATGAATTTTGAGGTTATGATATTCACTTTCTTAATTTCCCACAGGTGATTGGTTTCACTCTTCTGCTAGAGATAGTCTATGCCTCATGTCATCAATGTTGTGGGATTCTATAGACAAAAAAACCCAATGATAATAAGTTGCTATTTCTTGCATTTGCATAAGGAATTTAACTGCACATCACAAAGTTAAGTAGCTAATGGAAATGTAAAAAGTGGCTCATTTTTGCACGTTTATTTCAGAATTCAAGGATGCTTACAATTTTAAAGAGAAAATGCAGTCGTAATCTAGAATATTAGTTGGTTTTGGTTGGACTAAACATGATCAGATTGAATCATATATGCTTTTTGCTGCTCAAAAGTAATATTTGAGTGTGTGTGTCTAATCAGATATGTATGTGTTTATGTATATGTCATCTGATTTGTATGTGTATGTCTTAGACTTATTATGGTTGTTTCCAATTGCAGGATTAAGTTACATACAAATTTGAGTGAAGAGGTCCATGCTGTTATTAAATCAAGATGATAACGAAGTTTTGAGAGCTTGAATGGTACCAATATTGTTTTGACATTATTACCCTTTGTAGAATAGGATTCTACTTACTAGATTGGTGATATCTATATTTGAAGCTAAAGGATGCCAAGTTTATTGTAAATTGTTATTTCATTAGTAATATGTAATTTGTATTTGATACTTTTTTAGGTTTATGAGGTTTATTGTAATATTATTTGATTTGTGGTTGAATTTCAATATTACTATTAGGTTAATGTAATGAGTTTTTTTAATATTTTGGACAGAAAAAAAAAATGGATTTTTTTATAATTTTTTGTTGTTTTTTTAAAAAAAAAAATAAAAGTAATTACCTACGG